CTGTAATTTGGAGAGTTTTGAGAAATGAGTTTTTGAAATCACTCCTTCCAAAGAATTCATGCTAAAATCAATAGTTTGAAGCTTAGACATTAGCCCTATACTTTCAGGTAATGACCCTGCAAGATCATTCTCAGAGAGATACAACTCCTCCAATGAGTTTTGAGCACATGTAGAAAATAATATTTGAACGAACTTAGAAAGTTGTCCACTCAGATTATTGCTTGAGAGATCCAAATATTGCAAACTACATAACCTGGCAAAAGAATGCGGGTCCCCTCCTTCAAGTTGGTTAGAATATAGATCAAGATGTGCCAGAGAGCTCATGTTTCCAAAAACATCAGGAATTGAACCAGCTAGTTGGTTAAAAGAGAGGTCAAGATGAACAAGGCTGGTATTATAGTTGGACAACCATAGAAATATTGAAGAAGTACTCAAATGGTTGAAAGAAAGGTCAACGCTAGCAAGAGATTTAGAAGAGTTTATGTAAGAAAGAGTGGAAAGAATTGGAGAAGGAAGATCACATTCCTGTAGTGTCAAGTTTGTTAGTTCAGGAAGCTTATTAACAGCTTCCGGCCAATCGAAAACATTGCTGAGATTCGCGTAACTCAAGTCCAAATATCTTAACGACGAAAGAAGAGGAAGCCAGCTGAGATTTTCTACATTTGTAAAGCGATTACAGCTTAAGTCCAGATACACCAAGTTCGTAAGATTTCCGACCTGACTTGGAAACTTGCCTCCAAAATAAGCCCAAGACAGATCAAGGTATCTTAAATTGGTTAGAGAACCAATGAAATCTGGAAATTGACTCCCTGTGAAATTAATCTCATTGAGGTACAAATGTTGTAAATGCTGCAACTCAATCAGTTTAGGACTAATCATCTTACCTTGCAAATAATAATCTCCGCCGATAACTTCGTATGAAAGATCTAGTCCAATAACATGACCTGTTTGGTTGCTGCAATAGACTCCTATCCATCTGCAACAATCTTGTTTCTGGGCTTCGGAACTCCATGAAGAGAGGAGATTGTAATCATCCACCAGGCCACGCTTGAATGCAAGGAGTGCTTGCCTTTCCTTCTCTATGCACCTCCCGGTCACATTAGTATCCCTCTGATTGTGGTCCACCTCTCCTCCTTGGGCATACTGTAGCAAAAGCAGCGCAAATGCAAGAAAGAGTTTCAAGGACCTTCCATGGCCCTGCATGTTAAAAGATTGAAAGGCAAGATCAACACAATCTAATTGTTTAGGGTTTAATTATTGATATATGGTTGTCTCCGAGCTTGTATCACAATATATAAGGGAAGAAAAGAAAAGTCTTTACGAGCTTGAATAGTATGCAAATTTTGTCATATGCTGCCCACAAAGAGATGCATAAAACTCCACACGATATACAGAAACTAGGAACATAATTATTGACTTAGACTTTTGTTTTTCCTTTTTCTTATTTGTTGGGTCTGAGCAGAAAGTTCATTGAGTTGGACACTAATGAAGCCACATATTTGTACAAGATAAACACGCAAAACAGGACCACATCTATTGAATTAGTCTTTGCATAAAGTTAATTAGGTAGCCTTTCTTTTTCTTCTGGTCTGAGCATGTATTTCAATCAATGAATTGGGGAAATTACTGGATGATAAGACTTGTGGAAATTTGGTATTGGTTGGAAGAATGAGTGCGTGTGCGTGGCTCCACATAAGACTTTAACTTCATAGACTTGAGAATCCCGAGTTCCACGCCAAAAATCATGACAAATTATTGTAGGTATTGAGTCGACTTGAGAGGGTTTCATACAAGTTTTTCTGCATCCTGTGGGTCATGTCCACTCAACTCAACCCTAATTTGCCACCCATGATCCCATCCAAGGCACAAGCTTCTTGCAATATTGACTTGACCTAACTGGAAACATACGGAGATATGTCTACCAACACACATATATTTCTTGATACAAATGTGATATATGAAAGTATAAATCTTTCACAAATTATGCAAAAATAGTTTGTGAGAATAATTTTATACAAAAACCATTATCAAACCACTTCACTTATTTAGTGGGGAAGGTTAATTTAATAGTAACATTTATAGCCTCTACCACTTTCTTTAAAAATCAACAATACAACTAATTATGGTTAATACCGTATTTGTGCAGTTTAGTTTTTGAACTGTGTACATAAGATTTGTACTTGACAAGAAATGAAGGAAAAGTGCCCCCTTAACTTTTGATATTTCTTAACCAAACTTTCCGCGATGACTTGATATTTCTTAACCAAACTTTACGCGGTAATTTATAATTTTCGTGGCTACGTTTCATAATTTTTTTTCCTTCGTACCCAATTTCTTAATAGTGTAAGTATTAGCTTGACCTTCTAAGCTTGGACTGTTTGATTCCACAAAAAGCACATCTTTGATAATTCGGATTTCTTTTAATGTGCCATGACATGTGTGTGCTTTGTCAAACTTTTACGAAAAGTAGATTTTTCAAAAGTGAACGACTGTGGGAAATTGCAAAAGATGATCCATAAAATCAAAACAGAGCTATATATTTATACAAGACATACATGACATAAAAAAGACCACGAATTTTCTGCCCCTACTAGAAATTAAAAGTTAGACACTAATTTCCACGACGCAATTGAGTGGGTGGATATTGACTTGACTCAATTAATTGAATAAATTTTGGAATTCTCAATTAGTTTGGATCACACTATATTGATTGACTTGATATATAGATGAAAGCAAGATGCATGCTGAAGAGTATCCAAATCAAATAATCACTTTTTCTTTTTTCTTAATTATTGGGTCTGAATAGGAAGTTGATTCAGTTGGGGACTAAAAATATTTAGGCTTTAGTTCGCACATCTCTGTCTGATTATAATGTATACATGGATATAAAAATATTTTATTACTTTGATAAGAAAATGTTTAAGATAGTTTGACAGGATTTGCAAAACTATGAGAATGAGATGGTGGAGAACAGAAAAGAAACAAATTTAATTGCTTTCTGCAAATGTTATGATTTAAAAGCTAAAACAGAGCAGCATGTTCATACAAGACAAAACCATAAGGAGGAGTCCATCAAATGAATCTCGAAAGCTCAAATCAATATGATTTCTTCATGAAAGTTACTCCAAATAATTCTCTCCTTGAAAGGAAATCTAAAGGTCATCAAAATCAAACCACTGTAAATCTCTGAAATTTGGTATGAATTGATGATATGATATGATCAGCTACTATCGAATTGGATTATGCTTACCTAAAATGTTAATTAATTAGTTTAGTAATCTATAATGTTATTTGCTTTGCACTTTTGCACTGAGATTCGATTGTCTGTCTGTCTTAAGCGAGCTTGTGCTCAGCTACTAGAATTGGATTCTGCTTACCTAAAAGATTTGGGATTAGGACGATTTTTGTTCTTCTTTCCTCACGTACAGGTAATTAATTATATATATACACTATTCTGAGCAAATGATGCTAACTAAATTCATTTTAGTTGAAATTACAGTGAGAAAATACCACGTTATGGAGCAATAATATTTTCATCTTACTAATATTTCCCCTGTACCATGGTTGACAAAAAAGTAATTAAAATTGCAGAATTATGGCTAATCAAGAAGTTAATTGGAAGATAGGTAAATTGAATGGTGCTTCAAAATAAAAATGCAGCTTTACAAATTAGCACATGCCATTAGCAAATTGAAAGATAGGTAAGTCCATGGCCATATCTCACTAATGGTACCCTAAAATGACCCACACTGTTAAAATAGACAATAGACTATGGTCCATATAGTGGTAGACAGAAATGTAGAAGAAATGTGATAAAATCTAACGACAAGGTTGAAATTGACTATTTTTCTTCAATGACTAAATTGGCTGATTTTTTAATTCGGGGAGTTAATTTCAACAAGTGTCATAGTTTAGGGGGTAAAACGTCTGATAATCCCAAAATTTAATCCACAATTTATAGTTTAAAAAAAATTAGTGTTGGATTATAGTTTTACCGTCTCCATAAATTATAACTCTCTCAATATTATATTAATTTTTAGTATATTCTTTAATTAATAATTTCAGTTATATAGATTCAACATAAACATAAATAACTTATTGTAAACTCTTTGAAGAAGTTCAACTTGTCTTTTTTGACAAAAAACAAGAAAAGAAAAAAGAAGTGGAACTTGTCTTTTTTCCTCCGTATGCTCCCGCATGAAATACGTGATGAGATTTGAGTTTGAACCAAAAAAAGAATATATAAAAAAAAATCCATCTTATGTGCAGACTGACAATATGTGGATTTTATTATTAATTGTTGGCATGCATTTCTCATGCTATCCGGCTATAAAAATCCATTTCCTGCCACTACAACAATACAACTACACCATTACAGACCCATTTGACTGAAGTGAAGACATGTCTCTGAAGATGCTGGATAAAAAGATAAAATGCAACAACAAAAAGAAAAAAGAAAAAAAAGACCGATAACTTTTTTTGGTCAAAGTACTTTTTTTCAACGAAAGAAAGACAATAGGAGGATAAAACAGAAAGAACCCAAAGACAGTTGGAAAGGAAAAACGACAACAGGAAGCACAAAAACTAGAAAAAGATCAAACTAGAGACCAGTAACTATGACGCCTCCATAAGGGGAGCTCATCCGCCTCCAGCACAGACGCACTAGCACCTCGAGGGGCAAGGAAGGCCTTCAGCTTGTAACACAAAGACCAGAGAGGATGGGGGGCTGGAAGACCAAACCTTATCGCACATCCTCCTCCTAGCTCACTGAGCTGCAGCATGAATATAACAAATTAGAAAAACCAAATTAATCATCCATGTTGATAAAGTCAATAAAGTAATAATAAACTACCAGAGAGAGAAAGAGAGAGTACTTACCGTTGATCTTTTGTAATTAATAAGCATCCTTCAATTGCCGCTTCAACAAAGCTATCCTCACAAAAAGCCAATCATTTAAACTATTCAAGAACTTCAAGTATGCATATCTCCATGACCTTGAAAATATCAAGGTCCCGCAAACTCCCCAAAATCCAGCAGCAAATCCAAGCCCCATACTTATGTAGAATCCAAGTGTTATTAGCTCATCCTTGTCCTCTTGGCTGATGAAGTCAGTTTGCTCACTTGGTCCTCTTTCCTTTTCATCAGCACACAAGTCTGCATTCCTCCTTTCCATATGAATGTTGCATCATCCTCATAGTCATCTCCAGTAAATCCTTGTTGATCAGTAGAAATTTCATAATAATGTGAGATGTTCAGACTTGGATTTCCTTTCTGAGCCAGAGTAGTTAAATTGGTGAGGCATTTGGGTATGTTTCCAGAGATGATGTTCAAGGAGAAATCCAAATTTTGAATGTGTGTTAGATGGCATATTTGTGAGGGCAAGCTTCCATTGAAGTGATTAGACGAAAGCATCAGGATAACCAAATTCTTTAAGCTAACCCCTAACCATTTAGGTATTGGTCCGGATAATTTATTATCCCCAACATCAATGACTACTAAACTTGTGCAATTCTTCAACAACGAAGGCAATTGTCCCACAAATTTGTTGCTTCTTAATTTGAGTGTTTCAATCTGAAATATGGAGCCTATTGTTGTAGGAATTTTCCAGGACAAAGCATTGTAACTCAAATCAAGCATGTCTAGATTCTCCAAATGTGTCAAGCAATCTGGAACTTGTCCAGAAACATTGTTGTTTGAGAGGTCAAGAAAGCTTAAACCAATAGTTGCTCTTGAACACAAGAACGAAATTGACCCTGAAAGTTTATTATAAGAGAGATCCAGATATGAGGCTTTTGATAGAACTGAGGGGATTGGACCTTCCAACTTGTTCGAACTCAGATGTAGTTTAGGGAAATATGAAAATTCCAATGTCAAATTTGCAAATGTACCTCCAATTTGGTTGCTTGTGAGATTCATAAATGTCACATTACGACATAAACTCCAAAACCAACTTGGAAGGATGTCTGAAATTCCAGCATCAGATATATCAAGGTGTGAGAATTTTTTTTGAGTTTGAAGCCACTTTGGGAAAGCCGGACCCATCTTGCAAGACCCCAAATTTATGAAGTCCAATTGGAAAGGAGGAATCCAATCAGCATGGATGTCTAAAACTAGCGAGTTAGAAGATAAATCCAAACTCTGTAATTTGGAGAGTTTTGAGAAACGAGTTTTTGAAATCACTCCTTCCAAAGAATTCATGCCAAAATCAATAGTTTTGAGCTTCGACATTAGCCCTATACTTTTAGGTATCCCTCCGGTTAATTGATTGTTTTAAAGATTCAAGAATTCCAAAGATGAAAGGTTTGTAAGATCAGGTAATGACCCTGCAAGATCATTCCCACTGAGATCCAAAATCTCCAATGAGTTTTGAGCACATGTGGAGAATAATATTTGAACAAACTTAGAAAGTTGTCCACTCAGAATGTTGTATGAGAGATCCAATGATTGCAAACTACATAACCTGGCAAAAGAATGCGGGTCTCCTCCTTCAAGTTGGTTAGAAGAGAGTTCAAGATGTGCCAGAGAGCTCATGTCTCCTAAAACATCAGGAATTGAACCGGCTAGAGGGTTATAAGAGAGGACAAGATGAACAAGGCTGGTATTATAGTTGGACAACCATAGAAATATTGAAGAAGTATTCAAATGGTTGAAAGGGAGGTCAACGCTGATAAGAGATTTAGAAGAGTTTATGTAAGAAAGAGTGGAAAGAGTTGGATGAGGAAGATCACATCCCTGTAATGTCAAGTTTGTTAGTTCAGGAAGCTTATTAATGGCTTCCGGCCAATCGAAAACATTGCTGAGATTCGCAAAACTCAAGTCCAAATATCTTAATGACGAAAGAAGAGGAAGCCAATCGAGATTTTCTATATTTGTAAAGTCATTAGCACTTAACGCAAGATACTGCAAGTTCGTAAGATTTCCGACCTGACTTGGAAACTTGCCTCCAAAATTAGTCCAAGACAGATCAAGGTATCTTAAATTGGATAGAGAACCAATGAAATCTGGAATTTCGCTCCCACTGAACTTAATCCCATAGAGATCCAAATGTTGTAAATGATGCAACTCAATCAGTTTAGGACTAATCATCTTACCTTGCAAAAAATAATCTTCGCCGATGACTTTGTATGAAAGATTAAGTCCAATAACATGACTTGTTTGGTTGCTGCAATAGACTCCTATCCATCTGCAACAATCTTGTTTCTGGGCTTCTGAACCCCATGAAGAGAGGCTATTGTCCTCATCCACCAGGCCACGTTTGAATGCAAGGAGTGCTTGCCTTTCCCTCTCTATGCACCTTATGGACACGTTAGTATCCCTCTGACTGTGGTCCACCTCTCCTCCTTGGGCGTACTGTAGCAAAAGCAGCGCAAATGCAAGAAAGAGTTTCAAGCACCTTCCGTGACCCTGCATGTTAATAGATTCAAATGCCAATGGAATATATGTCGAATAGGCACAACTGTTTAGGGTTTATGAAAATGGAATATAATATAATGTCGAAGATCGAGCACAACCATATATATTCGTATATGGTTGTCTCCGTGCTTCTCCATATATATAGAGAGACAAAAGGAAAGCCTTCACAATGAAAAGTATGCATGCTAAAGAGCATACAAATCAGATAATCACTTTTTCTTTTTCTAATTTGTAGGGTCTGAATGGGAAGTTGATTGAGTTGGGGACTCGTGGAAAATTTGTATTGGAAGAATGAATGTGTGATATGTGGATATTTCAATCACTTCTATTTTTATATGGAAAATGGAGAAAAGTTTTGAGGTAGGCAATAGTTGAACAAACTTGGATAGTTGTCCACTGAGATGATTGCTTTGAAGCCACAATGATTGCAAACTACATAGCCCAGCAAAAGATTTCAAGTTTCCTCCTTCAATCTGGTTATTATCTAGATAAAGATAACCATTTCGATTTTCTTAAGAGCTACGGACTGCCTATATCTTTTTAAGTGCCATATGCTGTCTTCTTATTGATTGGTCAAAAGGAAAAACTTGGTCATAGCAAGGGTTTAGGGTAGATATTGTTGTGTATACAATGACAATTAATTGAGGGTGGAAAATAATGTATATGCCAAAATATCATGTCTCCTTGAGAAGCTGTGGACAGAAGGCGTAGGACTCTTTCATCAGCGTGGACACTGACCACAGACCCATGACTCTTTCATATATTTTGGCAGCCTGCTACTAATAAATTAATTGGACCAGCCTTTGTGAAAGGTATGTCTACCGACAAAATATCAATGCTTACTTAGTAGGACCATCCACACAGACAAGTTTCCTCCTAATTTTCTTCCCACGCAACTATTAATCTAAGACTAGACTTGAGAATTGGGATGGTGATTTGCCTTCCAACGCACACTAGACTCTTTCTCACTATTGTCTTGCAGTTATTGACTGGGCTTTACTTGACTTGACATGGTAAGTTGGTAACGGTGCATTTTTGTGTCCACTCAACCTTTTAAATTTGCCTCCCATCCAAGACGGGGCACAAGTTACAATTATCTTCTTGCAAATATGGACCTTGACTTAACTGAAACATATGTCTATATATTATTGATACTTATATAGTAAAGCATAAATCTTCCACCAATCACATATTAAAACTAAGATAAATAGTGTTACAATCATTCATAAAATTTCTCATATTATAATTTATAGTGATGATCACAAAATTCTTAAGTAGGAATGAGTATATTTAATGCTGAATTTGATCGCTAAAGTTTCGGAGCAAGGAAGTCAAAGTGTCCTTCATTTTGTATCCAACTCCACCTTTATTAGAGAGATGGTGCACAAGTTGGTCTATAAAGATGGTCTCCCAAGTAATCAAGGCAAAATTACATGGATTATTTGTGACTTTTAGCCAACTCTTTATGAATATGGATGGAAACAGATTCCCAATGGGGAATATGGTCCTCAATGTTTGTGTGGATGGATAATCCTTGACGGGGACTAGGCAGAGGATGAGGATGAGAAGTTTTTGCCTTTCAACTTGAGATGAGATTCTTTCCTTTCAAATGCTTCTCCATCATTCTTGTAACGTGTTTAAGATATTTGCACAGATAGATAGAAAACCAAAATAGAGCCATATTTTTATACAATACCGGACAAGAAAAAGAGTACGAATCATCTGCCCTTGCTAGATACTAATTTCCACAATGCAATTAAGTGGCTAGATATTGACTTGACTTAAGTGATTGGATAAATTTTGGAATTCTCAATTAGTTTGGATCACACTTTGTCGATATTCGATTGACTTGATAGATAAAAACTATGTAAGTAAGCTCATAAATAGCCTAAATATAAAACAAATATTAAATAAACACCTACGATACTCAAATCTTAGGAAAACTCATTTCACTTCTTTTTTTTTTTTTTCAAAGTAAGGAGGGACCAAATATACCATACAAGTCTTAATAAAAACCTAAAAATTACAATTCTGTCATCATAGTTTTTTTTCTTTCTAAAAATTATAATGCAAGGATAATAATGGTATTTCACACATCATTCAAAATAAATAAAAAATATAGTACAACTAGTTTTTTTTCCTTTTCTTCAATGTATAGGTTTTATATATAAAAGGCAAGGAATGAGTTTTATTATAAATTTCTGAAGAGCATACAAATCAGATAATCACTTTTTCTTTTTCTAATTTGTAGGGTCTGAATGGGATGTTTGATTGAGTTGAGGAGTAATGGATGAGAAGACTCGTGGAAAATTTATATTGGAAGAATGAATGTGTGATATGTGGACAAGGTTTTGTGTCATCCAGAATAAAGAAAAACAAACGACAAAGTGATGCTCTTAATAAAAGTTGTGGACAAGGTTTTGTGGCAACTTTGTATTGTTCGTGCTATTGGAGTTCGTGGGCATACTGCTAATAAAAGTTTTCCAATTTATTGAGTGAGATTATACAAAAAATAATATAATACCTACACACGTGGTACATAAATGTCCTTCGACAAAATTACATGAATCTCTTTATAGAGGGATTTTGGTAGAAATGTCACTTGAACTTATACCTCAATTTCAATTTGTCACCTTAAAG